CCTGGCCTCAGTCCCTTCTCTCTGACTGACCTGGTCCCCAACTCACAGAGTGGTGTTTTTCACACTCGCCCGCCCTTAGGAACTACTCAACAAAACAAAAAAAGCACATTCCTGGGCCCTCTCAGGCATTGCGAATGTGGATCTCTAAGCAAGAGGCCCTGAATCTGTATTTTAACAAGGTCAAGGTATAGTTTAGGACCAGGAGTCACTCTGCTCTGGGCTGCTCAGTAGACCTGGGTAAATTGTACTTATTCTATGTCTCTCTTACTTTATCTGCAAAATGGTGATGATGTTTTTCTTTTTCATCTGGAAGATTTCTTGGCAAGATTAGTAAAGACAATGTTCAAGGAAGTGTTTATATGCAAGATAATCTTATCAGACACGCAAAGCGACCCTAAAATGAAGTTCATGATTAAATTCCCCAAGAGCAAGGGGCCGATCTCTATCACTGCTATGCCTCTGGAACATGTTACACACCCAAAAAAGCATTTATTGAGCGAAAAGAGGGACGAGTGATTCCACCGCATTAATGATAGAACCTTGCAACTAAATGCAAACACCAGAGTCCACAACCTGGGGACACGCTGGAGCCTCAAGCTGACATCTCCGGGTTCCCCTCTCCATAAAAATATTTTCAAAGGTGTATTTTAAGACTGCGTTGGCAGAAGGAGGAAGATACTCCAGGTTGGGTTTATTGTTATGTATTCATTGTTATTATATACAGGTTCTTCCCTTCTGATTAACTGATAGGATCGAGCTTTACCCTGGCTCCTGAATTATCAGGGGCCCCAGGGACTGTGCCCCCGGTGCCCGGAGGTCCCCTGAGGCCTGAGCACACCCTGGGGGATTCTGATTCACTTGCTCTGGGGTGTGGCTGGGCATGGAGGGTCGTAAATCCCCCAGGGGATTCTGACTGCAGCCCCTGCCCTAGTCCTACTGGGGAGGGTTCGACTGGAATTTCCCAGCTGAAATCACCTGCCTGAAGCCTAACACAGGTAGTGACTGACGAGGTTACGAGGCCAGGCGTGTCCATGCCCATGCCTTGCTCCAAGCAGCTTAAATGTAGGGACTGGGAAGAACAATCGTTCATGTCCTTTAGTCCCCAGATTGGCCAGGTGACAGTCATTCTCCTGCTCAGGTGACTGGCCTGAAAGTCCTTGGAGAGCTCTCTAGCTGGAGGACTGAAGGCACGTTTGGGAAGCCGAGGGGGGAACTCACAGGAGGTGGCTTCCAGATTGCCAGCTCCAAGCAGCTGTCACCTACGTCCCTTTTCCCTGCCAACACCCAGAGACATGCACAGAGAGACACATGCAGGGCCAGACGCTCATGGCACCTAAGATGCCCAGAGCCTCATACACAGCACAGACACGCAGAACCTTCCCTAACACCCAATGACACACCCACACATGCACACACTTGCGCATTCCCAGACCCCCACGCACCCTCAGAGAGGAGCGCGCGTGCACACACACACACACACACACACGCTCGGTGAAGTCACTAACAAAGGCCTGAGCTGATCTAAGACTATGAGACAGAGGGCGAGCTGACGATAAAGCAAGGAGGAAGTTTGAGAAACAAAGCAGGGGCAAGTCAACCAACAGTACACAGAGAAAGGCCATCAATTATCAGGGGACAGATGCCTGCTGACGGCACGCTGATGGATGCCCCAAGATCGGAGACACCCCCCACCCCACCCTGGCTGCCGGGAGCTCACTGCTGTGCCAGAGTTTCAGGTTTTAACAAGCACGTGCAGAGGGATGAGACCCCAACTCACGACCTCCCCATTAACCTTCCAATCAGCATTTTTTTCTACCACTTTAATTTCAGACGAGAACAAGAAATGCAAATTGTAGCTTAGAAAAGTCTCCAGAAGGGCTGTTTGCATTCTCGCCATATGCTCTCTCCCTGCTCTCTCAGCTGGGGGGCCCTGAGAACAAAGCAACAGAAACATCACAACTGGGAGTCGAAAGTGATTGTCACATGTTTCCCACTCTCCCTTTTCCACAGTGTCCTTCCTGGGGATGACAAGGTCTGCTCCGATGAGCCCAGGTTTAAGAGGGGGGCCCACTCTCACGAGCAGAGGCCTGGGAGAACCCGTGGCCTTCTGGAAGATGCTACATTTTCTACTGACCAGGGGCAGGCATGCAGCCGCACCCCGCCGGAATCCACCTACTTACTGGATGGCAGCCCAGTCCTTCCTGCTTATCAACAGGAAATCAGAAGACCTTGAGCTAGAGAAAGGATTAAGTTTCAAGGGCTGCCACTCTTCCAAAAAAAAATGGAGATTCCAGTGATTCCACCCAGAGAGGGAGAAACAGCAAATCAAGTCACAGGGCTACAGGAAACAGAAACAGCTTTCCTCCTGCAGCTTTCAGAGGCTGGCATTCAATCCTAAGTGCTGCCTCCTCTCACCGGGAGACAGAGGCAAAATGACTCGCTCGCTCTAGAGGATGAGGCGCCCCTCCTCCCAATACGATCCCTACAATACTGTTTTCCTGCACTTTTTCTCCCTCGTCTGCCCCAGTCTGTAATGACAGGTTTGCTTATTTGATGTCTGTTTCTCTCCCGCTCTACCACCAATTCCACAGGAGAGGGGACAGCATCCCCTCTTTACTGCTGGATCCCAAGCTGGGCGTACAGGTAAAGAGGACCCACACTGAACACCTGAGGACTCTATTTTCGAGTTCATAGCACCTTCACAAAAGAGGGTCCAGGCGGAGGGGCTGAGATGCGGCGTCCATCCCGTCTCAATTTTTCAGGCTCGGGGGAGCCCTAGAAGGACTGAATGGGGTTCCGATGAGTCGAGGTGTTGAGGCAGGCCAGCTGGGGTGCAGGTCTTCTTGCTCCGAATCCAGCTGTTGCCACCAGGTTGTTCCAAACAGCTGTCTCTGCAGATGACACAGCTCTCCACACCAGAGCAGTTTCGAATGGGTAGCCTTTGCTAGATACGGCTTTGCAATAGGCAACATTTAAGCAGCCACCAAGGCGGTTCCTCAAAAAGTTAAACTGAATTATCACATGGTCCAGCAATCCCACTCCTACGTACGTACCCAAGAGAAAGAACACACGTCCACAGAAAAACCTGTACGCCGATGTTCACAGCAGCACTGCTCATAATAGCCAAAAGGTGGAAACGACCCAAATGTCCATCGACGGATGAAGGGATCAACAAAATGTGGTATGTCTATACAATGGAATATTATTCAGCCGCTAAAAATAACGCACTGACACATGCTACAAAGTGGATGAACCTCGAAAACATGAGGCTGAGTGGAAGAAGCCAGACACAACAGGTCACACGTTATGTTCCATTTATGTGAAACATCCAAAATAGGCAAATCCAAAGAAATAGAGGGAAATTGGTGGCTGCCAGGTGCTAGGGGAGGTGGGAATGGGGAGTGACTGTTTAATGGGTATGGAGTTTTATGTTGGGCTGATGAGAATGTTTTGGAACCAGGTGGAGGTGATGGTGGTACATTATGAATGTACTAAACGTTCCTGAATTATACACTTTAATGGTAGGTGAACTATAACACATACACAACTATATAACCACAGGCTTCAAAACTGTACTGTGCTGACGACACTGTGATATTGGACATACCTGCTAGATTGACTTTGCCCTTCGGGGAAACTGGGTATAAAATCACTGGGGACACTGCAGGGCTAAAAGCTTTAAAAGTACATAAGCATGTGGTACATCCAGACAATGGAATATTATTCGGCACTGAAAGAATGAGCTATCAAGTCAGGAGAAGACACGGAGGAACTTTAAATTCATATGCCTAAGTGAAAGAAGCCTTTCTGAAAAGGTGACATACCATATGATTCCAACTATATGAAGTTTTGGAAAAGGCAAAACTGTAGAGACGGTGAAAAGCTCAGTGAATGCTTAGGGCGGAGAAACTACTCTCTGTGTGTACTATAATGATGGACACAGGTCTTACGTCTGTCCAAAACCTCTGAACGTACAGCACCAAGAGTGAATCCTAGTGTAAACTATGGACTCCAAGCAATGATGTGTCAATGTCGGTTCATCACTTGTGCCAAATGTGCCACTCTGGCGGGGATGCTGATAATGGGAGAGCCTGGGTGTGTGTGGGGTATACGGGAACTCTGGACTTTCTTCTGTTTTGACATAAACCGAAAGTTGCTCTAAAAATGTTTACTGAAAAGGAAAAAAAGGTACTTAATGTGTAAACATTTACCTACTACTGCAGAACAGTCACAAAACAGTTAAGCAAATGCGCTAGACTGTATACTTGGCCATGGAATGTTTGCTTTAAAAAAAAAAAAAAATCTTTCTGAGCCTCAGAATCTTGTTTCTTTAAAATTCTTAGACTGAAAAAAAAAAAAATCCGCTCTCTCTTTCACGGCCCTCGCAGGATCTACTTTCAATGCACTCATGCGCCTATGAAGAACAGACGACCCATTGTAAACATGAGTCATAAATTCGAGAGATAACTTTAATAGGCTCCAAAATGCAAATCAGAATTTTGTTAAGTAAAATTCCAACTTCTACACTTACTCCTAAAGGAGATCTCTGAGCCCAGAAAGTCAGAGGATTTTAATATCCCAAACAAGAGGCCAGTCACTGGGGAGAAAACCGAGGCCGAACTGTGTATGCGTGTATGAAGCCGTATTTATAAATAGTTAGTGCCCATTTGAAGTGTTTTCGATAGCATCTGAGAAGCCAGTTGTCCCAGAAAAAACATTTCCATGTGTAGTGCTGTGCTAGGCCAGGAATCAGTCATGTGTTTAAAGGTGGCTTCACTAAACGTAATAACCGAATACTTTTTGTGAACAAGACACAAACCAACACTTATGTATAAGGTTACCTCGCTTCGACGGACTGACAGTATATAAGAAATGCAGCCCTTTTGGGCTTGAAATTGGTAAAATTCTTCTTTGAGGTCCAGGTAGATATAAAGTGCTTTCGATAATTGAATGTGATTCAGTGTTTACAACAGACTAACACCAAAATCCCCAACAAACAGTGGCAGAACAAAAGAGCCTTTTAATTTGCACAAACATGTGAATAAGCCCGCACTTTAAACAATAAAATGGAAGGTCCAATAAATGCTTTATACTCCAGGCATCTGACATTTTTAAAGTTCCACCGAATATATATTTTACGGTTCCTGAAACAAGGTTCTTGTCTTGAAGACTTTGCATATGTAATTAGTACCAGCCTGAGAACACTTATATACCACCATCTGAATAAAACTGCTAAATATGCATGGCTTTCGATTTTGTCAAATGAAATAAAAACACATGATCGAGACTGAGAGAGCAGCAATTTTTCAAGGCCATAAGATAGGGTTTAAACAACATAACCGCACCAAGATGGCATTGTTTTCCTGCACCTTCCAAAATGAAGCTTTATCACCAGGTAGGAAAAGGGAGGATGGCATTCATATTCCTGGCAAGCTACAGTGCTCTCCTTCTAGCATCTCACAAGCACCCTGATCAATTAACAAAGCATCTTTTGTTTGGAGAATGAATGAGGACGGCTTTCTTCTGTGCATTTTATTAAAACTTGAAAGCTATGGCTGGCTGCCATCGATGACGCCTATTGGGTTCCAATAGCCTAATGTTCAAATCTGACTTGTTAGCAATCCACCCAACTCAACATCCATCATCTTGACATTGCGGGATATTCAGTACGTCTCAAGTTTTTATCAGGAAGAATTTTCTACCGTTATGGAGCAAATAAAGGTTCTTTGTAACGACTGGAAACACAACACGAGACCTTTCTCCACACCGTAAGAATTGATAAATAGTTCACCGAGTGAACCAAAGACTTTATTTTTTAAAAGCAGATAAACACCAAAGTACGATGTAGTATCCATATGCGTTGTAAAAATAATTACTGGAACTTTCAAAACAGCAAATGAATAAGCTGAATCAATGGTTACGACTATAATTTTCAGCCAATATACAGATTTTTGTTCAAGGTCTAGGCTTGATTTCTACATAATATTATTCACATGCATTCCCTGTGCCTATTTACTATCAAAATGGGGACTCTTAGAAGTTGAGTCCAGCTTTGTCTTGATTTCAAAGATGACCCGGCAGCGAACCGAGAACTCTGGCTTGATGCTCGGGTCCTAGAAATCATGTCTTCTGATGTTACATAACAAACTATTATTTCGGAAAAATAAAATCAGACTTTAGATTCCTGGGAAACAGTTCGGGACTCCAAGCTTTTCAGCACCGCGGTAGCTAGATACGCTCGCACATGCTTTTGTCTTTCCACACACACCACCAGGAACCCGAGAGGGGCCCCGCTTTCAGAGTTCCATTATGGAGGTTTTTAAGAACCGCACTAAACCCAAGTGAAGGCAGTGGATGCAATTACCCATTACTTTTTCCATTAAGGAAAAAGGAATATGTGCGAGTGCCCTGGCCAATGATACCGATGACCTGGTTACAGAAAATGGTTCTATAAAGCCCTCCTTTCAAAATTATGTTTGAAGGTGTTTAAGACCAAAAGGAGGTCATGAAAACTGTTAATACAAACAACTCCTTATTAAGAAACAGCCTCTCATGGAAAGTGTCTGAGGATGTGGTACAAAGAATCCAGGGAAGGCAGGGCAGGGGTAAGGTCCAGCTCTCTATTTGTAACATGCATTTATGACCTCGTGGATATGTCTGGTGGGTGTGAACGGCCCCTTCATGTACTTAAAAACGAGTTAAGAAATTAAAGCGAATTGGTATGCTAATGAAAAGCCTACAGTTACAGAATCTGAGAGCCAAGGCCTTTGTCTATAAGGCAAGATTTCTGTCACCAGAAGTGGACACAGATGGACATGATGGCAGGTACTAAGAGCTGGATCAGCCATACTCAGGTAGAACGGTCTTAAAATTAAGGCAACCTGTGGCTTCTCAGTTAGAGCCCACCACCCGAAAGGCCCGCCGAGGCAAGAAAAGAAGCTGGCGAGGCAAATCACCAGAAGATAGACAGGCGGGGCAACGATCACAGTTAGATGGGATGACCTGGGGTCAAGGGCAGGCGGGAAGCCCTTGACCCAGCACTCAAGGTGAATGTCTTTGCATGTCCTGTGCACGACTCCAAGCAGCAATTTCTGGGGTTTGGAAGTGTGCTACTTTTGCGATATTTCCCCCCAAAAGAAGACACAAAGGTGAAGCCCCTGGAGAGATGCGACCACCAAGGTGGGCTACCTCCACCAGGGGCGGGGCTGGGTGAGAGTCGGAAAGGACTTCCTGCCACACACGGCTCCCTCCAGGTCTGGCCGAGTCCTACAAACGCTTGTAGGTGCCCAGGAGAGCTTTGCAGTTGGGACAGTAATGGTCCACGTCCTGCAGAGCGTCCACACAGAAAGGGATGAAACAGCAGCCCGCTACGCACCTGGGAGAACAAAAACAGCCACACAGAGCACGTTACCGACTGGAACAGTTTGGATAGTGGCCGCCAAAAAGATACGTCAGCTTCCTAACCGCCCCCCGGAACTTTATTTGGAAAACGGTCTTTGCAGATGTGATCGAGGACTTCAAGATGGGATCATCCTGGATTGGCCAGGTGTCCTTATAAGAAGAGGAGAGGACACACAGAAATGCAGGGGGGATGAAGGCCGTGTGAAGACAGGCAGAGACGAGAGAGATGCAGCCACAAGCCGGGGAACAGCTGACTACCAGAAGCTGGAAGAAGCATGGAAGGATTCTGTCCTTAGAGACTTCGGAGGGAGAATGACTTTATGGGCACCTTGATTCTGGACCTCTGGCCTCCAGAACTGCGAGAGAATACAGTTCTATTGTTTTCAATCAACAGGTTTGTGGGCATTTGTTATGGCAGCTCCAGGAAACTCATACGCCAGCCAACGCCAAGGCTGCTCCCACAGACTGTGCTGAGTGCATTTCCAAGTCTTGGGTTACCTGGGCATCCTCCAAGGTCTTAGATTGAGGTCGGTGCATTAATCCTTCTAAATAACACTACATATTTTCTCTGCCACTGTAGTGTGACAGCGGCCACAGATAATCCTCACACCAATGGTGTGATGTGTTCCAATAAAACTTAAACTGGGCTAGATTCGGCCCCTGGCCTGTAGTTTGCTGACCTGTCTCAGACTGGTCTCTATGGAGAGGCTACTTCTCACAGCAACAATCAAATAAAGTGCCCCCAAGCACAGGCAGGCAGGGTTTTCGCACAGCCTGCGGCATGATAAGAAAGAGCCAGCTGTCCCAGAAGTAAGGGCTCCTGAAGAGAAACACACAAACGCCACTTCCTTCGAGGAAGAAGACAGAGCCCTGTGGTTTCCTGTGTGATTCCCATAATCAGGAATAAGGAGGCTGTCCTTTTCTGTTTGGGAGAAAAAAAATTAAATTGTGTTTCTTCGAATTTATCCCAGAACAGAAACTATTATCTCTTTTAATGTAATACTCTCGGTGCCGACATAAATATTTATACGATCTCCTTGTGGAGGAAACAGGAAAAACACTTGGGGTCATGAAAGAATAGAAGTTTTGAAGAGATGACTATCAAGTATTTTAATGTACGCATTATTTAAAGCTCCTCTCGGAGTCAGGCAAACATTATTATTTAGGTCATGAAATTCTAGAAGAAAAAGAAATCCCTAGGATATCACCCTACACAGATGCAAGCGGCTGCTATGCTTGTCCCTACATGCAGGGAGTAATTTGAGTAGATGAGCAAGAAGAAATGACAGGACAGTAGCTTGCAGGCTTCAATATGCTCAGGAGCAGTGGTTCTCAACTGGGGACGATTTCTGGTAGTGACGATGGGGGGAGGGGCGCTACTGGCATCTAGTGGGTGGCGGCCAGGGATGCTGCTCACACCCCACATGCACAGGATGGGCCCCCACGAGACAGAAGTACATGCTACAGTTGAGCAACCCTGCAAGAGAGGAATGTGGGAGAGCCCACGGGCTGAGTGGACTCCGGACTCACCCGAGCAGGCACAGGCTCCCACAGGAGAGCCAGGTGAGGGCACCGGCGTTATAGGACAGCTGAGTCACAATCATCTTGTTGCAGGAAGGACAACACATCTGCACTGGGCGGTCGAAAAAGGAGACTGGCTGCTGCACGTAGACTGTCTGCACGGCAACTGATGCGGGGGGAACAAAAAGAACCTGATCAGTAAACAGGAAAACACAACCATGATCACAGAAGCACTATTCACAGGAGCCAAAAGGTGGAAGCAATCGAGTGTCCATCGACGGATAAATGAATAAGTAAAATGTGGTCTACCCGTGTACTGGAATATTATCCGGCCGTGAAGAAGAATAAAGTTCTGACATGTGCAACAACATGGTTGAAGCCTGAAGATGTAATGCTAAGTGAGAAAGTCAGAAAAGGACAAATACTGTATTATTCTACTTATCTGGGGCCCCCAGAGTAGTCAAATTCAGAGATGGGAAGTAGATGGTGGCCGTGAGGAGCTGTGGGGAAACGCGGAGTTGTTGTTTAATGGGGAGAGGTTCAGTTCTGCAAAATGAAAAGGTTCTGGAGATGGATGATGGTGATGGCTGCATGAAAATGTGCATGCGCTCAATACCACTGAAATGCACACTTAAAAAGGCTTAAGGTGCTAAGTTTTATGTTGTGTATTTTACCACAATTATAAAAATGGGAGGGAGGGGATGACAAGAAAAGAGGAAACAGTGGCAGATTTCCAGAGCTGTCATTCAAGGGGCTCTCAGAACCACCACTTGCGAAATGGGGGACAGGACTGTGTTCCTAGCGGGACTTGGCTCCGCCTGGCCAGGCTTTCAGACTTGACTGCCTGTGGACTCCTGTGGGGAGCTTACTGAGAATGCGGATTCCCAGGCCATGCCCCAAGACAGTC